GGTATAAGGGTCCAATTTCATTTTTTTCATGTGGCTGCCCCAATTTTCCAAACACCATTTGTTGAAAACACTGTATTTTCCCCATTGTATATTCTTGGCATCTTTGTTGAAAAGTAGTTGATAATAAATGTTTGGATTTACTTCTAGGCTCTCTATTCTGTTTCATTGATCTATGTGTCTGTTTTTATGCCAGTACTATACTGTTTTGATTAATACAGCTTGGTGATACAGGTTGAAATCAGTAAGTGTAATGCCTCCAGCTTTGTTCTTCTTTCTCACAATTGCTTTAGCTTTTCGGGGTCTTTTGTGGTTCCACACAAATTTTAAATTGTCTGTTCTGTTCCTGTAAAAATTACCATTGGAATTTTGATAGGGATTGCACTGAATATATAGATCACTTTGGGTAGAACTAACAATATTGTTTCTTCCAATTCATGAACACAGGCTATCTGTTCATTTATTTGTGTCTTCTTTGATTTCATCATCAATGTTTTATAGTTTTCAATGTTCAGATCTTTCACCACCTTAATTAAATTTAGTCCTAAGTATTTTATTCTTTTTATGCTATTTTAAATGGGACTGTTTTCTTAATGTATTTTTGGATAGTTCATTGTTAGTGTATAGAAATGAAACAAAAATTTGTATGTTGATTTTTTTATCCTTCAATTTTACTGAATTTATCAGTTTTATGTAATTTTTTTTTTTTTTGCTGGAGTCTTTATTCTATATATAAGATCATATTATCTGCAAAAAGAGACAATTTTACTTCTTCCTTTCTGTTTGGGATTCCTTTTCTTTCTTTTTCTTGCCTAATTGCTCTGGCTAGAACTTCCAGTACTATGTTGAATATGAGTGATGAGGGTGGGTACCCTTGTCTTCTTCCTGATCCTAGAGGGAAAGCTTTTAGCATTTCACCACTGAGTATGAGTTTAGTTCTTGGCTTGTCACATATGGCCTTTATTTATGCCAAGACATTCCTTGACACCCACTGTTTGAGAGTTTTTATCATGAAAGGATGTTGTATTTTGTCAAATGGTTTTTCTGCATCTATTGAGATGATCATATAATTTTTATCTTTTTATTCTATTAATGTGATACATAATATTTAACTGATTTGTGTATGTTGAACCATCCTTGCATCTCAGGGATAAATCTCTCTTGATCATGCTATATAATCCTTTTAATGTGGTATTAAATTTGGTTTGCTAGTACTTTGGTGAGGATTTTTGCATCTATGTTCATCAGAGGTATTGACTTGTAATTTTTTTTTTGCTTGTAGTGACCTCGTCTGGCTTTGGTATCAGGGTTGTACAGGATATGTAAAATGAGTTCGAAAGTATTCCCTCTTCTTCAATGTTTTGGGAAGAGTTTGAGAAGGACTGATATTAATTCTTCTTTAAATTTTTGGTAGAATTCATCTATGAAGCTACCTGGTCCTGGACTTTTCTTTGTTGGGAGGTTTTTTTGTTTGTTTTGTTTTGTTTACTCCTGATTTAATCTCTTTACTTGGTTTTGGTTACTGTTCAAACTTTGTATTTCTTCATGATTCAGTCCTGGTACATTGTATGTTTCTAGGAATCCATTTCTTCTAGGTTATCTGATATGTTGGCATGTCATTATTCATATATGTTTTATGATCCTTAACATTTTTGTGGTATCAGTTATGTCTCCTGTTTCAATTCTGATTTTATTTATTTGAGTCTTTCTCTTTATTTCCTAGTTAGTCTAGCCAAAGTTTTGTCAATTTTATCTCTTCATAAAACCAACTCTTCATTTCATTGATTTTTTCTATTGTCTTTCCATTCTCTATTTCATTTATTTCTGCTCTGATCTTTGATATTTCTTTCCTTCTGCTAACTTTGGGCTGAGACTGCTCTTTTTCTAGTTCCTTAGGTGTAAAGTTAGGTTGCTTATTTGAGCTCACTCTTTTTGTTTTTTTCTCAATGTAAGTAAGCATTTATCACTGTAAACTTTCCTTTTGTTATTGCTTTTGTTGCATCTCATAAGTTATGGTTTGTTGTGCTTCCATTTTTGTTTGTCTCAAGATATTGTTAAATTTCCCTTCTGACATCTTGACTCATTGCTTGTTCAGGAGCATGTTGTTCAATCTCCACATATCTGTAAATTTTCCATGTTTTCTCTTGTTATTGATTTCTAGTTTCATACCACTGGGGTAGGGAAAGATACATCATACAATTTCAATCAGTATTCTTAAATTTGTTGACTTGTTCTGTGGCCTCACATGTTATATAACCTGGAGAAAATTTCATGTGCACTTGAGAAGAATGTGTATTCTGCTGCTGGCCTGCAAGATGTGTGCTGAGAAATCCACTGACAGCCTCACTGGTGGTGGTGACGGGGGTTCTGCTGTATGTAATGAGCTTCTTTTCTCTCTCTGCTTTCAAGATCCTGTCTTTATTTTTGACAGTTCTATTATAATGTGCCTCAGTGAAGTCTTCTTTAGGTTGAACGTGATTAGAGACTTTTGAGCTTTGTATCCCTGGACGTCCATATCATTCCCCACATTAGGGAAGTTTTTAGCCATTATTTCTTTAAATGAACTTTCTAAACTCCCCACCCCACTCTCTACCACCTGGGACTTCGATAACGTGAATATTGTTCCGCTTGACTGTGTCCCATAAATCCTCTGGGCCTCCTTCATTCCTTTGCATTCTTTTTCTTTTCATTTTCTGACTGGATAATCTCAAGTTACCTGTTTTTAAGCTCACTGATCCTTTCTTCTGCTTGACTGAGTCTCCTGTTGAAGCTCTCTATCTTATTTTTTAGTTCAGTCATTGTATTCTTTAGCTTCAAAATTTCTGTTTGGTTATTTTTTGGTTTTCTGTCTCTTGGTTGAACTTCTGATTTGTTCTTGTATTGCTTTCCCAATTTTGTTAGATTGTTTATCTGTGTTCTCTTGTAGCTCTCTGAGCTCCTTTAGAACAATTATTTTGATTTCTTTGCTGGGTAATTCCCAGACCTCCATTTTTTGTGGTCAGTTACTGAAAATGTATTGCTTTCCTTTGGTGGTATCATTTCCCCCTGATTCTTCATGATCTCTGTAGCCTTGCATAGGTGTCTGCACATCTGAAGAAGCAGTCATCTCTTCTAGATTTTATGGACTGACTTTGGTAATGAAAGACTTGCCAGAGGGGTGGGGCCATGCTGGAGTGTGCTGTGGTCCTGGGTCTAGTTGTGAAGGGTGCCAAGTATGGGGTGAGTGGTGGCTCTGGGTCCAGGGGGGTGTAGTGTCTTGTTGCTGGGCTCCATGGCATCAATAACTGCTTGATTCTTGTCAGTGAGAGCTGTAGGGTATCCTTCATAGATGCAAGGGCTGCTAGGGTCCTGAGCAACCCCAGGTTCTGTGCTGTGGGGCTGGGGCAGGCAGAGGTAGTGGCTGGAGCTGGGGGTGTGCATACCTTCAACTGCAGCGGCCAGCTGTAGGTGCCTGTGTGGTGACAGGGTTGGCAGTAAGCATATGTATAGTGGCAAGGGTCGTGGCCAACTACAGACTCAACAGGAGCCTGGGCTGTTGGTGTGCACCTGTGGGGCTGCAATGGCTGGCCCAGGTGCATATGTGGCAGTGGGGGCCAGTGACAGGATTTGGGGCTGGTGGCATGCAGGTGGATGGCTTCAGGGGTTAGTTGTGGGCACATGTGTTAGTACAGGTCAGTGACAGGAGTCAGGGCTGGCTCTGAGCACTGGAGCAGGTGTGTGGTCCTGGGCTGGCATTGTGCACACACAGCTGCAGAAGCTGGGGCTAGCTGCGGGTGGGGTGGCTGTGCTATATCCCAGGACTAGGCTCTGGTGGCGGATAGGGAGGAATTTCAGCAGCTGGAGTCCGTGAATGCTAAAACCTGTGGGGCCTTCAGCAGTGGAAGCTGGAGGGGATCTGCATCAGCTGTGCTGGCTGTTGTTTTCCTCAGTGGTAAAAACTGCTGGGATCCTCTGCAGAGCAGTCTCCTGGGGTCCCTGTCAAGATGCCCAGTGATGAAAGCTGTGGGGGTCCACAGCATCCACAAGGGCTGTTGAGATTCTCAGCAGTGAAGGCTGCTGGGGTGCTCTGCAGAGCAGGCACTGGGAACTCTGGTCACTCCCACCAAATGGCTGGTACTGGTATACTGATACCCTCCCCTTCCTCGTTCCTAGCCATCTCTGGACGCCTCAGCTATGCTGGTCTCTGGGTTGGGTCAAACTGATGTGGGTCCTTCATGCAGTGCCCCCAAAGCCTGGGGAACCTGGTCATTCACCCCACTTTTCTTTTCCCAGAGTTCCCTCTTTGTGCTGAGCTGTGTCAGCCTGGGGGATAGAATGACACAGGCAAAATGAAACTCTTCTTCCGGTCCATTTTGTGCAGTTATTCCCAGGTTCTTTGTTCCACTGTGTCATCAGAGCTCTTACGTGAACCTTGAGCTCCCCAGGGCTGTCTCCGTGCATGACAGTGAACTGCTGTTCCTTTTGAGGGACCAAGGTGAGGTCTCCTATTCTGCCATCTTGGTGACGTCACTTGCAGCTCACCCCTCAGGCTGGCCATGTGCTCTTGCTCTCTATTTTGGTACAGTCTCCACCACTCCTTGTTTTATACCTGTCCTCTTTATGTCACCCGTTTATGCAACTTTCATTGTTCCTGGAGGCATGAGTCTCTGTCCCCTTCCCTAAAGCAGAAACTGATTATGCCTTAAGGTTGTGGTTCTTAAACTTCAGCATATATCAAAATCGTCTGGAGTGATGGTTAAAGCATTGATGGCTGGACTCAGCCCTGTTCAGTAGGTCTGAGAATCTGTATTCTAACAAATTTGGAGGTGATGTAGATACTGCTGTTCCGGGGACCATACTATGAGAACCACTGCTCAAGGTATTATTCCTCTGAGGGATATTTAGATTTTCATTCACTCATTCACATATTCAATATTTATTATAAAGTACTTGGTTCTATACTAAAAATTCATTGCTGATCAAATGTATACAATACAGTTCTTAATTGATAATCAGGCAACATTTTTAAACTTTATTTATTTTGTTTGTATTTAATAAGTAAACTTTATTTATTGTATTTGACAGTGCTGTGAAGAGTATTCAAGCATGGCTTCCTTGAAGAATGACATTCAGTTAATCCACGGAGCTAGTCCTAAGTAGGGCTTGGTCCGATTAGGGAGGAGAAGGGAGCTTCTTAGGTCAGAGGAAGAACATACGTGAAGCTAGATAAGCCAGCCTCCAGGATCTAAATGATGAATCTCTGGTGGGGATTTGAGAAGCTGTGGAAGATATTTCAAAAGAGCCAGGTGCCTATACTGATGACTTCGGAGGCTGACTGTTTCTAAAATTGCAGGGAACAGAGCCAGGACAGAAGGAACCATCAGTCCTGGCGACCTGATCCATCAGTCCTAATGATGTGGGCCGCACAGCGGACCAGTGGCAAAAGTTATTTTGAGATTCTTCTGTTCTGGGAGAAATCCCAGTGGCATGTTGGCAACTCATCTCAATTTCTCTCTATTCCAGCATCTGAGCATCGCTAGAAAAAAGAAAGATAACAAATTGCAAGATCAGATCGTTATAATTTCAGGCTCAGCTCACCAGTGCCTCTGCCCGGCTCATCATATAAACCGTTGATGCCATGGTTCCTCCTCACATCTCCAGTCTCATCCCTTTCCTGTCACTGTGGCTAGTGACCTCCACGTAGTATGTAGATTCTCCTTCTGAGCCATCTGAAAGCATTCGCTTTTATTTTTGGAGCTCATAGCTCTTTCTCCTTATTGTCACATGTCTAAATGTGAAAGTCTTTGTCTTTGCGTTCTGTCTTTCCTTTTCTCTTTCTGCCACAATCCATAAACAAGAATACCTCCTACTTAAATCTTTTTTTCCTATATTTCTTTTCAAATTTCTTCATCTAGTTTTTTCTATTTATACATG